TTAGACTGAAGATCCCTTGAAGGTAATTTACTGCACCATCAGCTCAAGAATAAAATATTGACGTGCATCTCCATGCCCTTTTGAACCCAGACTCTGTTGATCAGCTTGGAAGCAGCGCTGCATGATTTCACACAGCCCTGCATCACCAACAAAGACACAATACAGTCACTCTTTCAAGTCTCCATGCCCTAAACCCTAAACCCTGACATATCATCGCAGACAAAAAAGACTTCATGTAGGTGCTAGAACGTGGAAGACAGGATGCCGCACAAGCGCGCATTTACCTGGTCCTCTGCTATTCAGCACTGAGACTTGTATGTTCGTGTTGATACCTGACCCGTACATACGTACCTACCCAGGTACATACCGACACACATGTTCGCACGCTTGAATATACATGCGGCCACAAGGCGACACTGCTGTACCCCACGACACCACTCACTCCAACACGACGAACCCCATTTCCCTGCAAACGCCCATCACGTGCTCCTTGCTGCGAAATTCATGTTAAGCATGCAACAGAGGACGTAGGTCCAAATGTGCAGACACGAGCACACCACACGCAGAACATGTCTGGGCTTCCGACAACGGACACCATCAGTGCTGCCACAGACAGGAAAAGAACAGCCGAAGCAACCTTCGTTCAGGCGACGTGCAGCAAATGTGTGCTCCAAGATGCTCTTCAGAGGTCTTGTTGGAGACGTTGTGCCGGAAATCGCAGCTCATTCACTACAGAACAATGTGGACACATATGTGTGTCGGTATGCATGCAGACTATGTACACACACACAAGAATGCTCTGGGGGCTATAGGCTTGCTATGAGTTTCCGTTGCCTCTCAATTCCATTTTTATCAGAAGCCAGCAGGCTGGAGGATGAGAACTCGCGCGCTATGCCCTTGGGTTGAGGGTTTTGGGGTTGTCCGGGGTTTTGGATATGTGCTCAAAACGGTGGAAAAGGCTTGCAGCCAAGTTCCATGTGGGAATGAGGTGCTCTAAATCCTACCCTGAACCCTAAGCCCGAAATCTTAAACTTATTGCTCCATAGACCATGGGCCTGGGGGTCTGGCTTTGACGTCGTGTTAGAGGCCCCGGGTTTCTAATTTGGGGGCTAGTGTTCCGGCGTGTGGGGTGTGCACTCTAGCTGGGGGCTTCATAACAGTACTAAGCAATGACAATAATATGTAGGACACAGATCCTACGCAGAGGATCAGGGGATTTAGGAAGTAGATTGCAAGCCAGGTTATGATTAGGATAACTCCACTCAAGCTTCTTCCAACCCTGCCTACTTGCTAAGTGCCTTTGGGGATTGCAGCGTGGCCTTTCCAGGTAGGGTCTACGGCGTAAGGCTTGGGCCAGAAGGCGAGGTTGGGGTGCAGTGCTCCACGCCCATATCCAATGCACGACGCCGTCACAACCTTAACCCACCTACCAAACCGTCGGCAAGCACCCCAAAGCTGTAACATATGACCCCCAAACACAATCATAGACGCGTATAGCATGCACTGCCGAGCTGGCAGCGTAGCGCAAAGCGAGGATCAGAAGAACCGCCAGCTTCGTCGCCACATCCTGGCAAAGCTACCGCTACGGAAAGTAGCTGAAGCTCAGCACGATCTTTCAAAGGACAGCGTCCTCGAGCTGTAGTTGCGTATTTGCTGAGTTCCCGAGACAGTTTTTCTTAAACCCTAAACCCTGTGAGTGAAAGCACTGAATAGAAAACTCAACTCTCACGAAAGAGCCGGAAGCGGATGGAAACGATCGAATCTGCACCGACATGGCAGGGCTTTAGCTCTAGGGCTTCGGGTATAGTTCTACAGGAACTCGAAACGTCCCTGAAAGAGGCAACCTGAATGAAGAATATGAGCCTGGTTAGAACATGAGGAACCCGCAATATGTAAAGACCCCTGACGGCTCTTTGCAAGGAGACCCCACGCAGCTTTTCTTTCATGCTCGATGGTGGGAGTTTCGGCGTCGGGGTTTTAAGTTAAAGAGGGCTTTAAAGGATTGTATAGGGTCTGTTGGGGAAGCATTTTCTACACAGGCTTGACTGGAGCTCGCCCAACCAGGTGCCCCGCACCACACCGCACTCGTTGCGGAAACCTTATTGCACCATTTTTTGCCAGAAGCCCAACCGCCAAACTGAAAAGCTGAACAGCGAAATCGCCATTGGCCTTTCAGCTCAAAGCACCCAACAGAACCCTTGACCAACCCCTAAACGGCTTTGGTAGAACCGTGTACCCTCTTGTAGAACCCTCCGGCACCCTGTCGTTCAACTTCTCGGTGATCAACTCGCTCTCGGAAACGAGACTGCACTTCACCTGGATCAGAACAGCGGCCGTGGCCACCTCAGCGTACATCAGCGCGGAGGAAATGCAGCTCAGTTGATTCTGGCTGGACATTTCCTGTCGGCTTGGCAACTCTTGCCCTCTAGTAGGTAGGTAGACAGACAGATAGACGGACCGCCGAAGAAAAAGAAGAGTAGATAGATTGGTAGTGAGGTGGATAGGCGGATAATTCGATAGGCAGTTAGGTTGGTAGGCAGGCAGGCAGGCAGGCAGGCAGGTAGGTAGGCAGGCAGGCAGGCAGGTAGGTAGGTAGGTGGGTGGGTGGGTGGTGGGTGAGTGGGTAAGTAGATAGGAAATCACACAGGTATGAAGACGGATAGACAGATATATAAACATGACAACAAGAATAACAATCATAAATAAGAACTAACACATACACCAAAATGAACATATATATATATATATACTTATAAGTATACATATATATATATATATACACAAGTATATATCTATGTGTGTGTGCATCTATGTTCTTATTCGATCATGTTTATGTACTTGTTTCATTTGACCTTCATTTATATAGCCAGACAGCGCGAGTGTGCGGCATGCACCCAGGACCAGACTCAAGGACAGCCGAGGTCAGCACCATCATGCTGCATTGTGCCTGGGAATGTGTTGATGGTGGGGCTGTGTTCCTCGAACGATAGACTGAAACTCCAATATTGTTCGAGGTGCAGGGTTTGGGGATTCGGAGGCATCTTTCATATAAATAATTGAGTTGACAAGCAGCCCCCAAGCAAGAGCTTCTTGCAGTTCTTCCCTGATGGACATGGGATCCTGTTCTTCATGTGGCAAGTGGATCATGACGTGGACACCTTGCGCCTGGTCGCCCGTCCGGGGGTTCAGGGCTCAGCAACGACAGTCATTTCTTTCGCCGTGGCTGAGATATCGAAAACTTCAAATACCTACGGGCCCGCTGAAAACCCCGCGTGCAGAGTGCCTTCCGTCTGATATCGAGTTGCTGACCGCATTTCCAGATCCAACTAGATGCTGACTCCACAAAGACGCTTGAGCCTCGGATACGCCTGATGAAGGTTATCAGAACCACTAGCAAACTCAAACGACGCTCCAAGTACATCCTACTGCAAGACCTGAACCCGAAACCCTGGCCGTCCGCAATGACACTACATCAATCAAGGCCCTGGGACCCAGTAGGGTGGATCGCGAACGCCAATTTGCATGGCACGCAGACGGCAGCCTGCTCTATCTCTACAGCTCTTAGGATGATGAGCCTACAAGGCTTCTGGCTGGTTTAGGGGACGGAGCTGTCTTCTGCTGCGCAGCCAGCTGTCACAGTTTTCCGTTTGGGACTCCACTGTCTACGCTGTTTTCATTGCTGTCACTTTATAAGATCTTGTGGGAGCTTTCCAAGGCACACACACCCCGCACAAACCCTAAGACAACATAAATTCTGAATCACTATACCCCAGCAAAAGATCTATGAACCCTAACATTCTCTCACGAATTGCACTAATCCAAATTTTGCGGCTTTGGTGCTTCGGGGATTCGGGACGAGCTGAGTTCCGACATCATACGCTCTAGGCTTCTCTCATGATTGATATTGTGACTACTGTTGTGATTTTGGCCACATTTTCGACGGCTCCTCTAACTTTAGACTTGCGGCCAAAGCCAAACGGACGACCCGCCAAGAGCACGGCCATACGATTTCGAGACGGTCAAGGCTGCACGAAACCAGCTCAGACTTCAGAAGCCGATCCGACAAAACCATGAAGTTCTAATGCCACACACAAATATCCACTTAACTGGAGCAATGCGGCCGATAACAATCGTAGAGATATCAAAAAATATGGAACAATCATCAAGACACATTAGGGGGACCAAAGCGGAATGGTAGGCAAACTCGTGCCACAACAAACACCAGGCACTCACCGCCAGCATCGTCCTGCTCATAATCATGGTCAGCATCACCAAAACAATAAGAGGTTGAACTGGCATGCCGTGGAGTGTTGAAATCAAAACTACTTTGTGCCCTGTATTTGCGCTGCAGCCGTACCCATCCACAAGGCTTCGCTCCTGACCCTGCACCCCAGCCGGCCGATGATTTACAGATAAGTCTGAATCCTGTAGACCCTTGCAACCGGCCTATCATCATCACGCAGAGCATCGGAGCGAAGGCCAAACTGCGCTGAACTCCCCCAGCAGAGTTGACGGCCCAGGAACCCATCGTCTGCCGCATGAAATCTGCAGAGAGTCTAGGGATTTAGTGCTTTGTCGAGCTTCAGGTTTTTAGGGCTAGGGTGGGCCTTCAAGGCTTTAAGGTTATATCTTATCATCTTGAGACCGGCTTCCTTGCCTCATGTGGAAACTATTGTAGTAGAAGATGTTTCGAGTAGATTTTGCCATGAAGGCTTCACTAGGCCTAGGCTAGGCATGGGCTTACGGTCCTGTGAGTCTCCAATCTACGACCCCAGAAACCCAAGACCTTTGAAGACATAAAATATCCCAGGCCTATTCCTTAAGGTAGGCCTCTGGGAATGAAGACTCTATGAGATTTCGATTCGAGCGTCGGTAAGCTTCGACTCGGTTGGCTTGGAACTGGATAATGTACGGGCCTTTATAATCAGAATAGGGTCTTGGGGCCCATTATACTCGATGTATATTTTGAAGGAAACCCTAAAGCAATAGTTAGTGGAAATTATTTGGGCCCCCAGATCAAGCCAAGGAGCTGCCGACCACCAGAGCCAGGTAGGCGAGGTAGTAGACAACAGTCCTCAGCTGAGTAGGCAATGCTACTTGGCAGAAGGTCCTTTCCTCAAAAAATCCAGAAGAGCATCTTGGACGGCGTTGCATTGGATTTTCTAGTCTCACCTCTGTCTGTCCACTGTTTCAAAAGCATCCCGCATCACACACACCCCACGAGCCCCCATCCCGAAGAGCAAGCCTCGTCAATCGTGTTAAGCTGCTCTGTCCATGCACTTGCACAGAACAAGCATATAAGTATAAATATCCATATAAACAAACAAATGAATAAGGCTATACAAATGTACTTCGCCATCTATGTAGTTTCTTGACTTTCAATCATGTATGCTTCGGTTTGTACGTATATATGTCTGTATGTGTATGTATATATACATACATACCTATCTATATGTATATATATATATATAAACAAGTGTGTGTAAGTATGTATGCATGCATGCATGTATGTATGTGTGTATGTGTACATATATATATATATATATATTTCAACACATACACACGCGCACACACACACACACATATATATATATATATATATATATATACGTGTGCATATTCATAAGAACACACATCTCCCTCTGTGTACACAATTATATGTACGTACACACATACAAACAAACATACATACATACATACATACATACATACATACATTCATACATACATCCTTACATACTTGCAAACAAAACAAACAAAAACATACATACATTTAAACATACAGACATACATGTACAGACAGGTGTGTGTGTGTATATATATATGTATATATACATATTGTAGTATATACATGCATATACATATATGTACATGCGTATATATATATATATGTAAATGTATATATGTATGTATGTTTGCATCTATGCATATATATATATATATATGTACATGTATATATATATATATACATACATATATATATATATGTGGGCGCGTGTATATACAATCATATAAATACACAGTCTATACAATCATATACAGACTTACTTCTGTTCTTGCAGCAATGGTATTATCAGTTCCGGCTCTTGGCATTGATTCCAAGGTTATCTTGCCTTCGAAATAGGAAATGCGCGGAACTACATAGTAGTCGCGTCGGGGAACACCACATGCCATACGTGTCTTGTGCAGGTTCAAAAGTTTCAGCGTGTATGCCAAGGTAATCCGACCCTTGGTTTGCAATGGGCAATGAATCTCATGCTTACTCTATCTGCGCTTTCCTAGTCTGAGCTATTGCTAGTCACAGTTGTATCAATTTCATTTAAACAATTGATAGCTGCTGTATTTTGTCCTGCATATTAGCATAGCAGTCATTGTACTGGCACTGGTGACTCACTGGTGGTGGCGGTGGTGCTGGTGGTGAACCGAAGTAGGTGCCCTTCCGCTTCATGAGACCCGCTCTTTCTTGACATTTCCGCTTTCCTTACATCTGGCAGTCTTCTGCACCTTTCTTCTCCTGAAAATTCTCGTGCCCATTAACCGCCACGCTATACTCTAACTTCGCCCGGTCACTCAGTAGAAGCGCCTCCACAACAAACAGTGCAAGCCACACTCGTGCGACCAGGAAACTCCTTCCAACCCCCAATCTTAAACCGCAAATCCCAAAAGCTTGACCCTGAAGCCCTAAACACGACAACCTTACACAAGACCCCGTAAACCCTTAACCTCCAAAGCTCTAAGTAATCTAGCCGAAGGTCAGGGTCATAACGCACTTCATGGCTGTTGAGAGGGGAGGGCTCGAGGCAACTTCCGGCGACGGGCCCTTGGACCTCAGAGTTCCAGGCTTTGAAGGGATCATTAGGGTTTAGGATTCAAGGTTTTACGGTCCATAAGAAGTTCTATAAGGGTCGATATCTCCAAGGGCTCGAAAGCCTCCACAAAAGCTCTAAGTCTACAAGGGCTTCTGAGCCCCTATCAGGATTCCATGGGGTCAGGTCGGTGTGTACTAGTATGAGCAAAAAGCACCAAGTCACAAAAGCTTTTACCGGAAATCCTCCATTGCGAAGTGCTTCTAGGATTTACGGCTCCAGCGGTTCTAGGTCTTCGCCGCTTTGGGGTTGCAGTTTATCAACAAGCATCGGAAAGACTTGCACCAAAGCCTCAATGCCATTGACTCAATGTCACACCAGATATAGTACAGTAGCCTTTAAAAGTAACTGAGAATGGGAATGATAAAATTATTCTGACCCCAATGCCGAGGCCTGCAATTCTTCAAAAAAAAACTTCGATCATTGTGCCCAGACCGCCTTTCGTACATTTCTTTAGGTCGTCGGGGTGTAAGGCCAAGGCTTTGGGGATTGAAGGTTGAGGGTTCTCCTCAGGCCCAGACGCCTATCGCTCGCGCATCTGGGGCTGGCCGACTCTTGAAGTTTAGGTTTGGGCTCCGTCGAACCCCACAACCCTCATTAAGTTCTTCAGCGCTAACCCTAACCCCCCAGGTGCCCACTAGAGCCCCTAGGGCCCTATATAGTAGGTACCTGGAGGGTTAGGGTAAAGCTCCAAACCCTAAACCCGAGCTCCTAAGCCGTATTCTAAGCACCCTTACCCGAGGGAATGCAACCTTCAGGTCGCGAGACTCCATCGCTGCAACGCTGAGAAGCACCACAACTGTTCCGACCTGGAGAACGATCTAGGGCCTAAGTCCTCCTTTAAAGGGCCCTTTATTAAGGCTTCTAAGGTCTAGAGGATTCTTTATAAGGGCTCAAAGGTCTAGAGGGTTCTTTAGAAGGGCTCAAAGGTCTAGAGATGTCTAGAGGGTTCTTCATAAGGGCTCAAAGGTCTATACGGTTCTTTACAAGGGCTCGAAGATTTATACGGTTCTTTATAAGGGCTCAAAGGTCTATACGGTTCTTTATAAGGGCTCAAAGGTCCATAAGGTTCTTTGTAAGGGCTCTCAAAGTTCCATAAGCTCGTGAGGCTTTCAGGTTTCGAGGGTGTTCGGGTTGCAAAGTTTCGGCGCGAAACAATTTAGAACTAAGCAGCGGAAACGTCAACAGGCTTGGACTCAGCCTGAGGTTTAAGTAAATGCATGCAGGCAGCATAGATGCAGCCTGTTGTGGCCGCCCAGAAGACACCCAGCGACTGCCGGTCCAATCCCACATTCGGCGAGAATGCCTCGTAATTCAGCGTTGGTCGTCTTTTTCCGAAAAGTTGTCGACACCAGGCAATGTCACACGTCCTCTCTTTATGTCTCTTTCTCTCGCTCTCTCTCTCGCTCATTCTGTCCCCTCCACTTGCCAGTGTCCCTGTGGAAGCCCATGTGGCGCATGCTGACTGCGAATGAAGGTAAACCCGAAGTAGTCGTGTCCAACGTTCATGCTGACAGGCAGCAGGTCCAGCAGCTTCATCACCCAGCAAGCTCGTTTTGGGGAGTTCCTGCTGCATGTCTAGCAGCATGTCCCCGTGTTCTGTACCAGTGAGGACGACTGATGCTAAATTTGCTTCAGCGATCGTACAGTATCTGTCCTGATTGTGGATGACTGCATAGATTGACCGCGCAGCCTGCGCGATGGTGGCAACTGTGGTCCTCAGTCATGCTCAGTACGTGTCTGCATACCATCCGAAGCGGTACTTGATGCTGGCTATTTGTTGACAGCATACATGGCTTGCTCGGGCTCTTCTGTAAGTGCCGCGCGTATACATGGCAAAAGCTGCCCATGGCCTGCAACTTCGTCTGACGTTATGCATGCCATGGGGGTCTTCCCATGTCTTCAATCGAGCACAAAACTGCGCCCAGAACTCACCCTAAAGAGGGTTTTTCGACATGTGCCTGGTCTCCAGTTGCAGCTGCACGGCCCGCAAAGCAATCGCCACCAACAATACGCACAGCATGGGTGGAAACCTGTCCAATGAGCACGCAGTAAAAATGAGGATGTGTGAAACTGTATCAAGCCGGTCTCAAACGAAACTTCCACCATGGTGCTGCAGCGAGGTCCGCCTAGGAAGCACAAGCGGATCTTCTTCCTGAGCCGCAATGTAGGGTGCAGTCACGGAGCCCCACCCACCTATCCGCCAAGCAACCAACTCCGGGCTCGACATCGGTGAAATCGCGCCATAGGGGGGATCCTGCTTGCGGGCTATGTTTTGGAAAGATTCAACCAGCGGAATTGCTAGAAACGTTGAACTCTTCCACCATGCACCAACCAGCAGTCGAGCATCCCAAACGTCAGAAAAAAAACAAATGCGGTCCCTCGCGAAGGTCACTTCAGGTTAGACGCAGTCCTCCATTTTGCGAGATTTGCGCGGCGCGGCCACAATCTCCCGGATGCCACTTTCGACCAGATACGACAACACCAGTGCAAGTGTACCTGGTGCTTGCGTCCGAAAACCGGCGCGTGCACCGATGATGCAATGCTGTCGACAAGATGTGAACACGACCAGCGGGAATCTCTTACGATTTGCGAAGTGGCTGCGAAAATGAACGGAACCACTTTCATACCCGTGCCTTTTTGTTTTGTTGGATCTTGCCAGGAATTCTGAGAAGGCACTGAGCCACTGAAACAACGGATAAGCAACACCACCAAGGCGCAGTGCATGGATGGTCCCAGTGGCTCGCTGATGCCAGTCTGTGCCTGTTGCTGCTGTAAGGAACAAGGGCGGCAGTAAACGCCACATCCCAGATCTTAGGTAAACCCCAGGAAGCCATAACCCGAAATCCGAAACTCTAAGCCCAAGTGGCTTCCACTTCTGACGAAATATTTGTCGTTGCCGGGCCATGCAGGGGGCATTTGGAATCATCTGGGTACATGCTCCTCCTGCTTGTCATTTAAACACACACGTTGGCCTGCATGGTGACGGTGCTCAACACGATGGCGCCACAGCACAGGAAGAGAAAAGCAGTGGCAGTGTGGCGCACACCAACCATTGCAGTGGTGATGGTGTCCTTCCAAACTAGAACATGCAGATGAAGAAGCTGATTGATGCAGTTGGTGCCGATTGCTCAACGGTAGCCTGCCTGAGCTTCGGAGTCACTGTGTCGGACTGACGAGACGTCCGCGATGAATCGAACAAAGCAGGCGAGGGTTGCACCATACCTCATTGCATGCAGCAATCCAGACTTTGAACACCAGAAGCACGCCGTGCGGCAGCTCATGAAGTAGCTCGAGAAACGAGTCCAAGTCGCATGCACAGCTGTGCCCAGATGGGGGGTGCGCCCAATGCATTTCCTGCCAACTGCACCGCACGAAGCCTTGGCAACGCAAGCACATTGTGTCCATACACGTCCGCAGAACACAATGAAACCACCCAAATGCTTCGTTTATCTTACTGATTACAATTACATCACCAGTTACACCCCATAACTACAGCCACAGGCGTCCACGGGCTACATTGCGTGCCAGGCCACCGCGTCCCAATCCTTAGTGCGTCTGCAGCGATAACTCCGTGGCTTCGCTGCAGTGCTTTCGCCACAAGGCCAAGCCGCATTAGTATGGCAATCACTGGGACCAATGACAAAGCCTCCGTTGCCTCATGTCATGACGCAAAGTTCTGTGCGGTACCAAGCTGATGCAACGTCTGTATTTCACGAAATAATAAGAACATGCAGACTGCGCCTTCACCAAGCGGGCTTCGATACAAGCAGCTGCCACCTGCACAGATTATTTGCGTCAGCACAGTCTGATTTGTTTGGTACGGTACGGCACGGCAGCGATGCTCTGCATCTGTACCACTGCAGCTGTTCGCGAAAGTGATCAATGGCAAGCCTCTCTCACACTCGCCACAAACCGGCTCATCCGTAACAGAATGACCTTGGTCGCACCATGATGCCAAACAAATCCTCACAAATAGGCAGTGCTTGATGTGCGGTCACGGTGCTGCCAAGAAAACGCTGAAGAACAAACTGCTCAGCAGCATCGTGCATCGTAGAGCCTCCGCAAATCAGGATACTTGACTGACCTGACTTGCTTCAACTTGCGATCGAATGTCCAACTGGTTGCTTCAGAAATAGCCCGACATGGCCATGTTTGTCACAAGCGGAAACTAGGTTTGCCGACATGACGTGGGCAGCCCGTTGGACACGACTGATACGACATGAAGGCTGGGCATCTGGCCGGCGCGACCGGCACTGTGCTGGGTGCCCCCAGAACTTCATTTCCTGCAGATTGCATAGCCGTTCAACCGGTGCAACCGAAAGATGCACTTACCCTGCGACGTGCACCTGCCTCCAAACGACAAGCGCAAAGCTTCTTCCACGTCTGTGGCGGCGAAGTTCACCTCAAAACAAACTCACCTGACATAGACCTTTCAATATCCTCTTGCTATGTACTGTAATTAATTCATCGCAGCTCCGGTCCGAAACACTGGATATTGCAGGCTCAACGACAAACGAACCTGGCTGCTGTATAGCGAAAAAACAAACACAACGGCACGGCATGTGATTCCATACGACTCCAGCATGGCGACCCGAGTGCTGTGGAACTCAAGGGCAGTGTGTGCTGCTCCAACGCATGCAAATCACACACAACATATTTCTGTTGGTCGGTCTCTGCATCTCACACGGGGAAACAATGGTAGCCTCTGCAGGCTGCGTCCTCTTGGCAATATTCAGTGCAACTTTGGTCGGGCACGACGTTAAGGTGAGAGCAATTAAACTCGGGGTTGGGTTTAAACGTTCCTTGAGCAGCAGTGCAGCAGCAGCAGCAGCAACGGCAAACATCGTGCGAACAAAGGTTGTGATTATTGTTCAAGACCGTAAGACGGAATACAGTTTCCGTAAGCATGTTACGCTAGCATGCTTGCCCACATGCACCCAAGACACCAAATCCATGGCTGGCCACCACTTGCGTTGTCGCGGAGACCGCGGAAGTCTTGAGCCACACATGACGCCAACGAGTTCGCTGCAGGTGTTTCACGATACGCTTGATACAAACACAACAACCAGCACCATTGCTACTACTGCTATTCTTTTTACAATTGTTACTACAACGACTACGACCACAACGACGACGACGACGACTACCGTAGATTTTTAATTGCTCGCGGTATCACCAGTACTGCATCTGTTCCTTTTACAAACGCCGCTGCAGACAAAATGCTGCGGCTTCTTGGCTCATCGGCTGCCGCACGGTTTGGAAACGGAAAACCAGTAGTAGTAATAATAGCAAAAAGTGGTAATAGTAGTGGTAGTGGTAGTAGTAGTAGTAGAAGAAGTAGTAGTAGTAGTAGTAGCAATAATACTAGTAGTGGTGTTAGTCGTCGTCGTCGTCGTCGTAGTTGTATTAATAGAAACATGATGGTCGTCGTCGTCTTGGTAGACGTGATTATCGTCGTCATGGGAATTGTAAGAACCACAGTAGCATTACTAGCGGCGGCGGCAGCAGCGGCAGCAGCAGCAGCAGCAGCAGCAACAGCAGGAACAGTAGTAGTAGTAGTAGTAGTAGTACTAGTAGTAGTAGTAGTAGTAGTAGTAGTAATAATAGTAGTAGTAGTAATGGTAATAGTAGTAGTAGTAGTACTAGTACTAGTAGTAGTAGTAGTAGTAGTAGTTGTTGTTGTTGTTGTAGTCGTCGTTGTCGTCGTCGTAGTATAGTAGTCGAAGTAGTAGTAGTAGTAGTAGTAGTAGTAGCAGTAGTAATAGTGGTAGTAATAGTGGTAGTAATGATGGTGGTAGTAGTAGTAGTAGTAGTAGTTGTTGTTGTTGTAATAGTAATAGTAGTAGTCGTCGTCGTCGTCGTCGTAGTAGTAGTAATAATGGTAGTAATAATGGTAGTAATAATGGTAGTAATAATGGTAGTAATAGTAATAGTGGTAGTAGTAGTAATAGTAGTACTAACAGTAATAGTATCAAGATTTCCAATCGAAAATAATAATGGTATCAATAGTAATAGTAGTAGTACTAGTAGTAGTAGTAGTAGTAATAGTAGTAGTAGTAGTAATAATAGTAATAGTAATAATAGTAGTAGTAGTAGTAGTAGCAGTAGTAGCAGTAGTAATAGTAGTAGCAGTAGTAATAGTAGAAGTAGTAGTAGTAGTGGTAGTAGTAGTAGTAGTAGTAGTAATCGTAGTAGTAGTAGTCGTCGTCGTCGTCGTAGTAGTCGTGGTAATCGTAGTAGTAGTAGTAGTAGTAGTAGTAGTAGTCGTAGTAGTCGTAGTAGTCGTAGTAGTCGTAGTAGAAGTATTAGAAGTAGTAGTAGTCGTCGTCGTAGTAGTAGTAGTAGTGGTAGTATTGGTAAAAATGGTAAAAGTGCTAAGAAGTAATAGTGATAGTAGTACAGGTGGTGGTGGTGGTGGTGGTAGTGGTGGTAGTAGTCGTGGTCGCCGTCGCCGTCGTCGTCGTAGGAATGGGATTTTTTTTCCCCCACGGACCTTTTTGCAAGCATCCGGGCGCGGTCCCAGTGCAGCAGACTCCCCCAACCAACCAAACCCCTAACCATCCCGAGCACGCATCAAGCTCATCCCATGCGGGAGGTGAGCGGAGGTGTTTCGGACGAGTCAGCGAGGACGTCACTCAGGAGAGGCGCCTCGCCATCAAGGTTATGGCGGTGTTGGAGATGGGAAGGTACAGCAAGCTGGCAGCAAATGGCAAAGGAGCGTGCGGCAGCTATGGAGAGGAGCGCCCCACTGCGGCGGCGGGGCACCCCAGCTGACGTCAGTGGGGACACCAGGGTGGTGTCAACTGCGAGTTGAGAGCCACCCCACAATGGAAGTCCATTAGCAGCGCCTGTCATCCTGCCTTGCAACTTGGAGGTTGAGGTCGCGGACCAGCACATTTGTAGCAACAGCTGCGCCGGCTTCACGGCAGACACGTGTGGCGGCCCGTTCAAGCGGCCCACCTCGCTGTCGCAAGGTGCCGGACCGGGGGCAGGCTGCGACATGCTCACCCAACACATCCAACGGGCGTTGGCAGCGGCAGCGGGCTGGGGCCAAGGGCAGAGGAAGTCGGAGGCGGCGGAGCAGCAACACGCGGAAAGGAGTCGATGGCGAGCTCAGGAGCAGTAGGACGCACCGTCAGAACCCTGGCTGCAAACGGGCCCAACTGTGAATCCAGCAGTGCGAGTTCGGCCGGGCCAACGCTGTGGCGATGCTCAGCGATAGCAAAGTCATCAAGGACCCAAGAGGCAAGGCGGTGCCAGCCACGCAAAGCGACCTCGGGTTCAGTGTCGTCGGCTGGCTGCGCCGGGGCCTGCTGGGGCAAGTCATGCAGCCCATGAGGGGGATGCGGAAGCCGGCTGCGACGAGCACGTCAGAGGCTTCGAGCAGGTCCCGGATCGGAGTGCCTGCCGAGAGGTTACGGCTACGGGCATCCAAAGCCTGTGCCAAACCTTGCAGGAAGGGTGCATCCCGAACGGACAGAACGGTGAATGCGTCGGCCCACGACGCCCAAAAAGCAGCTGGCGCGTGCAGCGTGGCACTACGCAGGCCAAGGCCGCCGTGACGCAAAGAAAGCTCTCCAACACGGGAGGCAGCAGGTGGGAGCGAGGAACGCTCTTCAGCACAAAGCAATGCGCTTAAGGTGTCGAGCACCGCCGCATCATGTGTAACTGCACACGCACGGGTGAGCCCGGGCGCCAGCGTCCGCAATGCAAACTGGGCTCGCGGGGCCGCGGTGTACAACAGCAACAGCAGTGCAACAGCCATGCAACCTGCGTGTCACTAATGCGCGGCAACATCTGTCAGAGCTCCCTGTGCCGGGCACTCACAGACTGGAGGTGACTGGCGAGAAACTCCGGCGAACCGAAAGGAGTGTCGGTTGTGGGCTCAAGCGCCTGGTCACCGAAACACACGCGACCGTCAGACTGGATATCTTGCAGGCCGTCAGGGGTGACGCCAGCCGCATTCCAAACGGCCGTTCTGGCGACATTGAGATGCAGCCGTGTGTGGCGCGCGAGGTGTGACTCGAAGCGCCGAACAACGCGAGGATGGTGACATCGTCGAGGTAGGCAAGGATGCGTTCACCTAGATCCTCGCGGATATCCTGCTGGAGTGCCCAGCGGGCTCGCGTGCTAAGGCCTCTTGCAGCAAAGCTGTCCAATTACCCTGCATGAACGATTGGAACCGTGCCAACAGAACGGGTTTCTCAACTCGAGCTCCACCTGCGGGCCGATGAAGGAGCATGCGGGGCAAGAACAACCACAGCTTCCAGGCTCTGACCAAGTGCATGTCGCCGACGAGTCAGCGAGGACGTCCCTCAGGAGAGGCGCCTCGCCATCAAGGTTGGCGGTGTTGGAGATGGGAAGGGACAGCAAGCTGGCAGCAAAGGGGCGTGCGGCAGCTATGGAGAGAAGCC